TCACTGCAACCTCTGCCTCCTGCGTTCGAGCAATTCTCCTGCCTCAAATCTCCCAAGTAGCTGGGATTACAGGTGCCTGCCACTAAGCCCGGCTAATTTTTGTATTTTTAGTAAAGACAGGGTTTCACTATGTTGGCCAGGTCGGTCTCAAACTCCTGACCTCAGGCTATCCACCTGCCTCGGCCTCCCAAAGTGCTGGGATTACAGGTGTGAGCCACCATGCCCGGCCCTAAGTGCTTTAATTCATTACTGATTCTTTTAATTCTCACAACCCTGTGAGGCAGGTGCTATTATAATTATCCCCATTTTACAAACAGAGAATCTATAGTCATTTAACTTGCCAGGGAAGATGCACAGTCACACTAACCGGTCTCATTTCAAATTAATGGCAACAGACCTCTAGTGGGCACTGAGCGAAGAGCAGCACAACTGCCACATACCTTGGTGGGTCTAATTTTCTTTCTTTTGTTGTTTTTTTTTTGAGACAGGGTCTCGCTCCATCACCTAGGGTGGGGTATAGGGCACAATCATAGCTCACTGCACTGTAGCCTTGAACTTCTGGGTTCAAGCAATCCTTCTGCCTCAGCCTCCCAAGAACTGGGAGTACAGGCACACACCATCATACCCAACCATTTTTTAAATGCTTTGTAGAGATAGGATCTTGCTGTAATGCCCAGGCTGCTGTTGAGCTCCTGACCCGAGGTGATCCTCCTGCTTTAGCCTTTCAAAGTGCTGGGACTACAGGCATGAGCCACTGTGCCCGGCCCTGATTTTCTATTCTCTAGGACAGATCATTTCGTATCTTCTCTCTCTGCACAGACCCTCTTCCTTTGGCTGAAAATCTCTCTTTATGCTTCACTGAGAATTCAGAAGCCAAGAGACAGAAACACTCAAATCTGGGCCAGGCACACTCATGCCTGTAATCTTAGCACATTGGGAGGATGAGGTGGGAGGATTGTTTGAGGCCCGGAGTTTGAGACTAGTCTGGGCAACATCGCAAGACTCCGTCTCTAAAAATAAAATTTAAAACCTAGCTGGGTATGGTGGCACACACCTGTGATCCCAGCTACTCAGGAGGCTGAGGCAGGAGGATTGCTTAAGCCCAGGAAGTTGAGGCTGAAGTGAGTTGTGATCACACCACTGCATTCCTGTCTGGGAAATGGAGAGAGACCCTGTCTCAGAACAAAAACCACTCAGATCTTCCAACTGCCAAACAGCAGCTTCTGAATGCTCCTCCACCTTTCCTTCTATTGCAAGGAAGGATTCTGTGCCTATCAAAGTCAAGTCCTTTAACGTGCTCTAGCTCCTGTCTTCGCCCAGCCACTCAGGGGTTTTGTTATCCCCCCTCTCTCCTATAGCATCAATCCCTCCCTCTCTACAGAACTATTCGTGATGTCAGAGAAGCATCCCATAAACCCTTCTTTGGCATCGCTTCCCTTCCGATCACCGATCCATTTCTTGGCTCCCTTTCACAGCAAAACTTTCCCAAAGAATTGTCTAGGCCGGGCACGGTGGCTCACACCTGTACTTCCAGCACTTTGGGAGGCCGAGGCAGGTGGATCACAAGGTCAGGAGTTCGAGACAAGCCTGGCCAAGAGTGAAACCCCATCTCTACTAAAAATACAAAACATTACCTGGGCGTAGTGGTGTGCACTTGTAACCCCAGCTACTCAGGAGGCTGAGGCAGGAGAATCGCTTGAACCCGGGAGGCAGAGGTTCAGTGAGCCGAGATCATGCCATTGTACTCCCACCCAGGCAACAGCACAAGACTCCATCTCAAAAGAAAAAAAAAGATTGGCTATACTTTTCTTCCACCCATCCTGATCAGATTCTGCCTCCATCAATTCCCTGAAAGTGCTCTTGTCAAGGTCACTAATGTCTCTTGGGTCATTCTCTAAATTCGCCTCACTCTATCTCTCAGCAGCATGAATCAGTCTCCACCTCCCTGCGCT